TGTTGGAGGGGAAAGTACCATCCCATGGCAAGTGTGGAAGGGGATAAAATACAGGTTAAAAGTAGAAATTCAAGAGAAAAAGGATTATGCAACAAGGTGTTGTGCTGGCATGGCAAAACATACCTCACTCCCCAGAAGGTGGCGGGGGGGAGAGAATCCACAGAACCACCAGCCCAGTGTGTGTGTGCATGTGATCCCTATGTAGATAAGCACAGAAAGTAATAAAGGAAGATGAAATCCAATATGTGTGTGCTGGTGGAGGGAACCAACTTGAAGAATTAGAGCTAGAAGCCTAAAACAAGTATGAAAAAGCAATGGTTTTGTTTATCATTATGTCGGTAAATACAGACATCTGTTCAGCACAAGAGATGATCATACCTGGGCAGCTTCTGGGAGTCAAAATGGGGGAAACAAAGGAGGAAGCTTCCTACAGCCATAAGGTCATAATCAGACACGGCCCCCTCCCAACACAGCAACATGTGGGAGATCAGAATTAAAAAAGGAGAACACTCTGTCCAGCAACAAATCCCCTTGCTGGATTATTTGTATATGAATAAATCTGACTGACAATAGGAAACATCCCAGGAAATTATGTAAGTCATCTAGACTATCTTGAAACTAATTATACTGTACTATACCAACAGTCCCATGAACTGAACTATAACATCCATCTTGATATTTTCCTGTAACAGACTTTTATAACTAGTATCCCTCCATACATACAGAAGAGAACATGCTATGAATGTGTAAGCAAAGGCGGGTAGCTATGGCACTCCAAGTCAAGTGTTTGGACAAGAACTTCCATAATCTATTACCATTGGCTATTCTGACCAGGGTGGATTGAAGTAGTTGGTCAAATTATCCGGAATGCCAGAGTTGCTTACCCTAATATAAGTCATGGGACAGAAACCTATGGCTGTCATGCTGGACACCAAGTTCCCATCAGCTCCAACCAGCACAGCCAATGGCTGAGGCACAAACATGATAGGAGTTGTAATGCAGCAACATCTGAAGGGTGATAGGTGCCCCACACATTTTAAGCTAACTGTGTACAAAAAGTTAAGCTAGTACCTCAGTTGTTCTGACATCCACAGTGAAGATGGCTTTGTTCGGGCTGTATATAGCTGTTGGCAGAGTCTGAGTAGATTCTCCCAAGGCCAGGACATTTAAGAGGGAACAAGAAGAAGCATCGCATATTGAACAAGAGAGAGAAGAAGACTTCAAATGAGTCCAAGAGCTGTGAAGTTTGCTGTTACAGATGTTTCGGGCAGCTAATGAAGACAAGCAATAGGAATTCCATCCGTTTTCTAAGGAAGAAAGAATACAAATAACTTTCCAGGTATCTGAATGTTATATATCTGAGAGAGATTTCAGGAGAACTGCTTATAAATTATTAAATCTACCAGGTCCAAAAATGTAACTTAATAAAGGTGCAGGGGAAGAACTCAGCACTGTTGTTCAGGCACACCACAAACAAGTTTTAAAAGTGCCTTATTTTCCTGTGTATAAGACTACTTTTTAACCTGCAAAATCTGTGGTTAGAGTGGGGGGATCGTCTTATACGCCGGGTATAAGGATAAGGAGGATAGAAGTGCTAAAACTCTATATTTTGACTGGAAAAAATGGGGGGTCGTCTTATACGCCGGGTCGTCTTATACGTCGGAAAATGCGGTACTCTTAGCTCACTCTTTAATTCAAAAGGATAGTTAATAAAAATTCTTTTTTTTAAATAGTCTCTAAAAGCAGAGGGCACCTGCAGACGATATTATATAAATGGGATGAAATGGAAAAGCAGACACAAGATTTTTAAACATCTAGTACTCAAAGGCCAGCAGCTAACAGAAAACTTAAAAATATCTCCAGAATTCAAAAGAGTTATGATTTGTTACTGCTCCATTTCCAGTAAACATCCTCCACAGTTCCCATTCTTTTAGGGCAGTCTCCTGCAATCTGGCCCTCAATATGTGTTTGACTACAGCCCCACAGATGGTAAGATTTGTAATCCAGAACATCTGGAGGGGCCCAGAATGGGAGAATCTGCTTTTAATGCTTCCTTTCCCAAGTAGCTTCTTCCTAAAATACTTCCATCCAACAGCATGGCAACAAGCTCAAGTTGCTTTCTGTCTTCAATTAACAAACAGATGACATACATCTCTGCTTGCCAAATAGATCACCTGACAAAGATGTTTTCTTCTTGCAAAGCCTGGAAAGGCCACTCTTCCTTTTCTTTTTGGTCAATGGAAAGGACTTGCTCAACTCTTCACAGACTGCTGGAAGACTCGGGGTTACCGAGGAACCCACCAGGGCTTCTTTGGAAGAGGCACACTCCTTGGCTGCCATGGTCACATCTGAATTAGAGTGCTTCTTCCCCCTAAAAAATTTAGTATCTTTGTAATAAAAACAGAAACTGTCAGTCAGATCTCAGTTAGCAGGTCAACTCCACTGGCTTAACAAGAATCTTGAGATACAGGTAAGGAAGAGACAGGACAAAGAGGTAGCAGAAGGGGTGTAACAAACAATAAACAGAAATAGAGATCTCTCTGCAGAACAAAAGTAAAGGGGAGTAGAGTGGCAATAGATGCAGAAAAGAATTCTATCTATGCTGCACGCAGAGCTGTTCAGGGTGGTTAAAGAAGTGACTCAATTGGTTCCCACCCTGAAACTACTATTGGAAGCAAATAAAGCCTGCTGTGATGCTTTTAATGATTTCTTTGTAGATAAAATCTCTCAAATAAGGGCCGATCTGGATGCGGACATTATAACAGAACCAATAAAAGAGATGTCCAGTGACTCTGCGGTCTGTATTAAACTGGATCATTTTGAGTTTGTTAATACTGATGAAGTGGACAAGCTTCTTGGAAGTGTAAGGATGACAACTTGCCCTCTTGATCCTTGCCCATCATGGCTGACCGCCCAGGGAGGTGATGCAGTGAAAACATTACTGCAACAAATAATTAATGCATCTTTCAGGGAGGGAAAATTTCCTTCAGATTTAAAATCAGCAGTAGTTAAACCGTTTTTGAAAAAAACCTCCTTTGACCCCCCCTGGTGAAAAACAACTATAGGGCAGTCTCTCTCCTTCCATTCTTGGGTAAAGTGATTCAGAGGGCAATTGCCTTCCAACTCCAGGCTTTTTTGGAAGAAGCCAATTATCTGGACCCATTTCAAACCGGCTTTAGGATGGGATACGGAGTTGAGACTGCCATGGTCGCCTTAGTCGATGATCTCCGTCTGGGCATCGACAGGGGAAGTGTGACCCTGCTGGTGTTCTTGGACATCTCAGCGGCATTTGATACCATAGACCAGGGGTAGGCAACCTTTCCCCTTTAAGGGCCGAGAGACTTCAGCTCCCAGAAGCCTCAGCCATGTTGGCCAATAGTCCCATGTTGGCCAATAGTTCCTGGGATTCTGGGAACTGAAGTCCCTCGGCCCTTAAAGGGGGAAGGTTGCCTACCCCTGCCATAGACCATGGTATCCTTCTGGAACACCTGAGGGAGTTAGGTATTAGGGGCACTGCGTTCCAGTGGTTCCAGTCCTACCTCTCGGGCAGATTCCAGATGGTGATAGTAGCTTTTCTAAAAAAAAGCTGACATCTGGCGTCCCTCAGGGCGCCATTTTATCCCCCATGCTGTTTAACATTTACATGAAGCCGCTGGGAGAGATCATCCGGAGACATGGGGCGTGGTGTTATCAGTACACTGATGACACCCAACTTTACTTCTCTATGTCTCTGACTGTTGCAGTGACTAGGGATGGCATCTCTCCTCTGGATGCCTGTCTAGAGTCAGTAATGGGCTGGATGAGGGAAAACAAACTCAAGCTGAATCCAGAGAAAACGGAGGTACTTGCGATAGGTACCCCAAGTCCAGGAAAGGAGCGTTGCCAACCAGTCCTAAACGGGGATCACACTTCCTCTAGAGGACAAAGTACACAGTTTGGGAGTACTCCTGGATTAATCTTTACAGTTATCATCTCAAGTGGATGCGATGGCCAGGAGTGCTTGGTATGAACTTAGGTTGATCCGCCAACTGCGTCCCTATCTGAACCAGAAGGACCTTGAAACTGTAGTACTTGCCCTGGTAATCTCTCGTTTGGAGTTTTGTAACGCGCTCTACATGGGGCTACCTTTGTACCAAGTTCGGAAGCTTCAACTTGTTCAAAATGCAGCAGCCAGACTGGTCACCGGAACACCTAGGTCTGACCACATAACTCCTGTATTGAAAGCTCTTCACTGGCTGCCTATCAGCTTCCGGGTGCAGTACAAAGTGTCGTCGTTACCTTTAAAGCCCTACATGGCTTGGGCCAGAGTTACTTGAAGGAACTCCTCTCCCCACACAATCTGCCCCGCACTCTCAGAATAACTGGGAAGAACATCACAGTTCTAGACTTATTACGACTTCCCAAAAATCGTTTACAGCCGCAGCTCCCAAGTTATGGAACAGTCTGCCGAAGGAGATCCGTCTTATCACTACTCTAGAATCCTTCAAGAAGGCACTTAAGACAGAGCTCTTCCGGCGGGCTTATTCACCTGACCTCCCTAATGGGCTTTAATTGTCAAACATGTATTATCTAACTGGCTTGGAAGTTGATGGTGACTGGGTTTTTTATTAATTCTTCGCTGTTATTGCATTTATTTTACTGATGTTATTTGTATATTGTACTTTTAATGCTGTATTTTAATTATTATTATTATTATTATTATTATTTTAATTTATTATCTCTCTTTCCTCCTCAACAGGGATTCAAAGTGGCTGATGGGGGGAGGAAATATACCTCACACAATAAACTATAGTATTAAACACAGAAAAAACAATCTCATATTAAGAGAACAGCTTACCAAAAAAATGTAAAGCACATCAGACAGGGGAAAGTACAGTTGGCCTTGTGTAGACAGATTTTTCATCCTCAGGTCAACCTTCCATGGTTTGAATTTTTATATATATATTCCAAAAAGCAAGCCTTGATTTTGCCATTTTATGTAAGGAATACCATTTTACTGGGCCAGTGTGGCATAGTGCTTTGAGTGTTATAAACTATGACTCTGGAGACCAGAGTTTGAATCCCAGCTCAGCCATAAAACCTACTGGGTGACCTTAGGCAAATCATATGCTCTCAGCCTTCTCAGGAGAAGGCAATGGCAAACCTCCTCTGAACAGATTTTGCCAATAAAGCTCCATCAAAGAGTCACCATAAATTGGAAACGACTTGAAGG